ATCTATTAGCTATAATTTATAGACTTTTTATATTTAATAGTAATTATTACTACTACTCTAGTGTAGCTAGTAGTATAAATATCTATATACTATAGCCCTATCTATAATTAAATAAGCTCCTTAGTAATAAGCCTAATAGTTTAGGTATTATTATAGCTAATATAAATAGTTAGTAGCTATTTAGTAGCTATTTACTTATTAAGTAATAATTTAGTTCTTAGTTATATTAATAGTTAAATACTTAGTATAGTAATTAATTTACTAGTAAAAAGCGCCTTCTTTATAATAGATAATAAGGCTAGTAATTTAGCCTTAGTAGTTAATATTATTACTATATCTTATTTATTAGCTTACTAAGAGATAAGCCCTCTAAATAGCTTTAGTATATATACTTATAAGCTATAATAGTTTAGTAAGTTATTAGTAAATAAGGTGTTTAAAGTAACCTCTAACGTATTATCTTTACTACTTAGTGTTACTTTATATTTAAGGTAAAAGTGCTATATTTAATAAAGATACTTAAGCACTTAATTTATAGCTTTTAAGTAATCTAGATTTAGATTATAGTTAAAGTAAGTAAGCTAGCTAGCTATAAAGGTAATATCTAGCTAAGTTATTACTACTATATAAAGAATTATTTTTATCTTTTTTTAATATTAGTTAACCTATTATAATAAGGCTATATATTTACTAAGTAGTAGCTTAGCTTTTACTATAAGTAATAATTTATTATATTTATATTTATTATTTATTAGTAGTAGTTTTATTACTTTATTATAGTATACTACTTATAAAAGCTAAAGATAGTAGTTACTTTAGTTATAAATTACCTTAAGGCTAAAGAACTATTATAATAGGCCTTTACCTTTAAGGTAGTATTATTACTAAAGTGCTACTATCTTATTACTTACTTATATTTTATCTATATAGTAATAAGCTAATATATAGTTATTAATATAAGAAAAGGATATAATATAATCTTTTTTCTAATAGTAATTCTTACTAGGTACTTAGTAAAATCCCTATATAGTAAGCCCTTTTTTAAGGTGCTTTTACTATAGTAAAGGAGATTATTAAAGCCTATAGAGTGCTTTTAATAACTAGAAGATCTAGCTAGTAATTTAGTAGCTTAAAAGTATCTTTATAAATACTACCTTATTAATAGTAGTATAAATAAATATATTTACTACGTTATATTAAAGTAGTTTTAGGTTAAAGTAAGTAGTTATTACTATAAGTATTTTAAATAATATACTTACTAATATAGC